CCTTAACGAGATCTACAAGGTTCGAAGCGGAATCCGTTCCGTAGATCTTTCCTATGCGATACGGCGTGTCGGACGGATCTTACGCAATCGGTCGTTAGGATTTAACGCCGTGTTCCGCGGAATGATGGAAATCAAGCTCGTAGGAAGCCGTTCAAGCTATCAGACTGTCCGCCATCGGCGAGCGCGTTCGAATCTTGGTCAATTGACACTTTCAGCGAGCGCGCGCGCGTGGCCGGTCGTCATTGGACGCGGTGTCTTCGGCGTTGAAGAGGAAACAATTTATCGCGGACGACCCGCGAACTGTGAACTTGACGCGGTTCACCCTACTGTGTTGTTCAGGACTTCTTGCTGTTGATGGGGTTTAGTTCGTTGATGGGAATAGTAAAAGGATTTTGATTCTCTTGCTTTACGGTGGTTGCGGAATAGCGGTAGATATAGGAAATTAGTTTAGGAATTAATTGCTTCGTTTATATGATAATGGGGTATAAATATTTGGCAGTTTAAATGTTAATAGAGTTATGGTTATTTAAATTGTTTCTATTGGTTGATATAGTTATCATTATATTTTTACCAAATTTGTTTATTTGGTACGCAGAATTGATATGTTGGTTTCCGACAGAAATGGTTTTTCTGCAATTGGTCACCAAGCTGTGAATCAAACGATTTTGTGCAGGAAGAATGATTCATGAAGCTTGATTCATTCATTGATTCACTGTCGGATATCTGCATTTCCGAACCACATTTCTCGACAAATTAATATGAATTTCAATAAGGAGAACTTCCGCAAATTTCAAGTATTTGAACATATTCTTATTACATTGAAGCTGCTTCTGGCATTGAAATGTGCATGACGAAATCCCTACGAAGTATTTGAAATGTTTAGCCGAGCCGAGGAACGTATCAGGGTTAAAGACAAGCAAACAATTCATTTTCGTTCGATGATTTGTTTTCCTCCATTGTGGACTTTCCGAACAAACATAGGTATGAACGTGTAAACGAAGTGGTGAGTCAGAGTATTCAGCACAGAGTGGAGATACTTTAGCAAAGAAGTTTTACTCGAATGAAACATAAATCGGTTGGATTTCTATTTTTCCTTTTTCTTTTCCGTGGAATCCGTAGGCAGCTCGACGCGCGAAATAGAATTTTATAGTTCCCGCGGAGATGCTGGTCAGCGTTCGATTTGACGTAATAAAACCGATCGTGGGCAAGCAATTTTGTTTTTCCGCGTGAACAATGCCACCTACGAGTGGGGATTTCATACGTTACAATCCGATAGAGCCATTGTTCCGACCAATATGTTCTGCAATCCAATAAATCTCTTTCAATTAATTCTCAATCGGCCGGGTGAAATATTTGTTCGCAGTTTTGTATGGTCGACGAAGCGAGCGATATTCTCGCGTCTAAGAGAAATCTCGTTTCGACCTTAACACAGAACATTAACAAGTAGGTTGAAACGAGTATTGCAATAATTCTTCGCGCGTATTACTTTCCACTTTATTGAAAAGAGAATTTCAAGACCGAAGAGAATTTTCCAATCTCAGACTAACGAGAGTTCCATTTAAAAGACGTTAGGAAACCTTTATTTATTGCTAATGTAGATATTTTCAACTGTAAAAGAACTATATCAAAAATATGTATATATATATACAACTATTTCAATTTTTTCTTAGTATAAATACTATAAATACTAATAATAAAAGTCAAAATTCCAAGGAAATATATCTCTCCACACGTTAACTTAATATTCATCGCATTCAAAACCCCTCCACTATAAAACACAAACATAAATAAAACCTTCCCTCATCTCCCACTATCCTATATTCCTCTATTTCCAATGAACAAGATTAAACTCAGCTACTTATCTCTTCAAACCATCGATCTCTCATATCTCTATCTCAGTTCAACAACCAAAGAAGGAATTAACACGTTGAATGCCATGGGTGTCACCGGTGACCAAATCGAATTACTACAGTTCACTCGATTAAACGATGATTATTTGCAAACATTCCTATATTATAAATAAATACCTAATGCGGTGACACTCAGCCAGATAAACATGCAATAATAATAATGCAACTCAATCGAACGATTCAACATTTGATTTCTCCCATTTTGTGCGTTTTCTCCGTGTAATCGTGCAGCATTCAACGTGTTAAATTAGCGAAACAAGATAGCCGATAGCCAAGAACGACCGCTGCGTTTTCCCACTCGACAAAACAGTCGGAGAGCCACAGATCCGTCCGGCGTCGGAATAAAAACACTTCGGCCAGCGGTGTCTGTAAACAGAAGGGAGGAAGCAAGGAAGGAAGGAAGGAATTAGCATGCGTTTCGATTTCCTTCTCGGCCTCCTTTATGCTCGGCGTTCTCATTCACGCGACGCGCGCAGAGTGTAGGGGGAATAGGGGAATTAACAAAGGGCGGGAAGGATACGGAGTCAGACCGTATCGACGAGGCGCGCAGCGCAACCATCGTTGGTCCCCGGTGGATGAAAGAACCGTCTAGCCTAGGCTTTTCTGCGCGCTCCCTCACCTCCTGAAAGAGGTGCGCCCTCGAGACCTCGTCGAGTTTGCTCTTGTCGATGACCTTCACTGCGACCTTCTCGCCGGTGAAAACGTGCCGTGCCAGCTTCACGACGGCGAAATGACCGCGGCCGAGTGTCTCCTCCAGGTCGTACAGGCCGGCGATCTTGCCATCGTAGTTGCTGTATCCCACCCTCCGATGCATCTCGCGTCCCTGCAAACATAGAAACAGTAGTTTGTAGACTTTCTGTTCTGTTTCGAAGATTAGCTGTTGTTCAGAATTCTTCCGAGCGTGGCGCTGATCTTAACCCCTTGGCGTACTATTTACTTTCGTTACTAAGCTCGTGTAACATTTTGCTATCGACGATTTGGCAGAAATGCAATAAAATTTTCTATTCCACTTGAAGTGGAAATTTCATTTGAAGAGAATAAATTGATAACAGTGGAATAGTTGTTTGCTTTGATCCATGGGTAACGAACAACGTTGATTGTTGTTAAATTGGTCTAGAAATCTTCATCGCGAGTCTTACTCGTCATTTTCGAATTTTCAACTTGAAATTATTTTCCAAGTTTAGTGATATATTTTCAATTAACTGTTCTGCTTTTCCAATAACGATTATAAAATTAACTGTAGAAAATGTCCAAAGTTTAATTGAGGAAGAATAATGAAACTGAAATATTTAAAATATGCAGAACCTTGAGCAGATGAAGCTAAATTATATATCAACTGCTTAACATTCAAACTATCAAGCAATCAGAGCGACTTATTTTCATTTTTTGGAATTAATAAAATATCAATATTTGTACATCTTGTCGGTGATAGCAATTTTGGAACAGTTTCGACGTGCGTGGCACGTCTTTCCAATCGCGAGAGGTTAAATGTCCAATGTCATTTTCAAGATAAATAGTTTCACAAAAGGTGGAAAGTCAAGATTTTTCGCAGTGATCGCTTTCCTAACTTTCCTTTGACTAGTTTGAAATGGAGTAAGAACTAGATTAGGTAGATGGATTAGGTAGAATGGGAATTTCTGTACACGATGAGATCTGGAAGCTTTAGAAACTCTTCAACCTGCTAGATTATTAAGCTGACATTCTTTCATTAAAAACGTCAATACGTTGTTCGTTCATTCAAAATTAAGCGCAAGTAAGACGTAACTTGGAGCAGTGTAAATATAATTACAAAGGCAGAAACGTAAGTTTTCAAGACGATATGTAAGAAACTGATGGAACACCATGTTTTTTCCAGTTTGATTGCAAAATGAGTACACTTTCATAAATATGCAATCGTTATGTAATACTGACTTTTCATGCATTTCAAAGAGCATACATCGTAAGGCACGTGTAAGGAATATCTTCTTTACGTGCAGAAGCATACACAAAAGACACTTCGATCTCGTCGGACAGAGATAAGAATTCTGTGAATAGAAAGTGGAACTACTCTATTATATATAACAAGGATAAAGAACCATTATAATTCTTGTTTACATGAATACCCATCGTTGGGCACAGTTTACGTCGTGTAGCGTTACAACAATGTGTCTTTTTAATTAAAACTCTTTAATGGTAAGGGTCAACATTTTGAGCGACCCATCGAAGTAGGGCGATCGGAAAAAAATACGTGTACACAGTTCATTGAATTTCTCGTCACTTTATTCTGAACGGGAACGTGATCTTATTAAAAAAGAAAACATCGATACCCCTAAAGTTCCAAGAAAAAAGAATGTCCCTACGAAGCGAACAACTTTACCCTCCAACGAGATTTTTACACGTTACGAAGAAATACGATAATTTTAAAAGTTTCAAGTGAAAATAACTTCCAAGTTCACGGGGTAAAGTTTCTAATAGTTCCTGTCGTGTAAAACGTTTCGAAAACTACAATTACACGGTCGAGAACAAACAAAGCACACATTTATCTTTGAAACTGCGTAAGTAAAATTTATCTTCTCATCCCTCGTATAACGTGGCCGAAGGAAGTTTCAAGAATGTAAATTTTTCATTCTCCAACAGCACAAAACAGTAATTTAGCATACATCGTGCGACAATCAACAAATTTTCATAAAATCGAAAAGTATTTTAAATAATTCGATACACCGTTCCTCACTCACGAATCACCTTCACCACAATAAAATACTAAAAATCGAAATCGATCAATGTTCTCATCATTCCCGAACACCCCGTAGATGACATGAATTTCAGGAGGGTAACAATTCACGTCGGTGATTGTAATAACAACCTGCACGTGCCGCGCGAACGTCGAATCAGCAAGGAATAACGAACCGATTGTCCGCCACGTACAGGGTGTCCCAATAATCCTGGCACAAGCAGAACGAAAATGACACCATCGACAGGTAAATTCAAAAATACATCGAATATTAACACATTCCGCACTGGTAACGAAGAATCTCGCTTTTATATAAAGACACTTAGCTATGCAACTTTGCTAATTACCACAGCATTGGAAAAAATATTAAATTCGACTCGAATTGATTATCTATTTAAAATATATAACATCAACAATATGATATCCGAGTTTCTGTATCTATAGTGATATAAGTTGATCTCACTGAAAATTACCATCCGCACAATTCAGTTTCCTGAAAATTAGCAATTTATTAACGGACACGAATATCCATATCCATAAGAACACGGTAGTTTAATCGAACAAAATTCATTTAACGCGTTATGCTCGTCAGGACAAGTGAACTCAAAAGATAAGAAACTATCGAACTCCATTGAATTTCTCACGCGTTCAGCGTTCCATTTCGTTTTCATTGTAGTTAAAATGTACAGAACAATGTTTCCACTTGAGGAGCCACCCCAGCAAACGATTACACGGGCACCCTGTATAGAAAATAAATTTCTACGCCCACTGGACTGGTGGAATCAGGCTCAAGGCAGTCGTGTGCACTCTCACTTTTCCGTTGCACCGGCTGTTCCTTCGACGAGCGACGCTGTCTTCGCGTATAAGGGTAAACCAGTCCCGCTTCCGGTGACGGCCTCCCTTCCGGGAGACCGAAAGCGACGGGTTGGGCTCGCCCGCTGCCGAGATCGATCGATCCTTTTCGAGAGTGTTTTCCGGTGCAACGATTCCGGCTATCCGGGAAAAGGGGTCGCGAATATTTTTAGCACGAACCTGCAATAATTAAAGGACCTCATCGATCCGCTATACGGTCGATCGATCTTAACAGTAGATTTACGGGACCCGTCGATTTGACGGTTATATAAATTTCGTAGACGCTATTCGGCGAAAGCTTGTATACAGTTTGATTAACACTGAACGTATCGACTGTATATATACCTATACCTACTGTAACTAGTTAAATAACTAGTTCTACAATGAAGATAAACAAGTTGAACGATTAATCGGATGTGGGAATTAATTTAGTGTTCAACGAACAAAGATAAGTGGAGAATTTTGAAGCATATTTTAAAACCGATCATTTGACCGTTGGTGGTATGTTTAATAGTAAAGTAATTATATGAGTATTCTATGATATCTTGTTCACGATTATTTAATTGTATTAATAAGCATTCTATTAATAATGATATTTAAGTATCTTAACATTTTGTCTTACGAATGGACTCAAACATTTTTACGCTATTTATGTTTCTAGCAACTTTGTAGATAGGATTATAAAGGAAACTGAAGTGTTAGAGGTCCAGTTAAATGTATTTATAAAAATGAAGAAATTATTTTAATACAATATTTTTCTTAAAGGGTTAGTCCTATGATTGTAAAGCCTCAATTTCTAAAATATATATTGTTTACGAATGCGTATTGATTTTTCTAGAAATAACAAGCCTACGACTAATGTCCCTAAATCTAGTATTAAAGATTCGAAGGAATCGTGTTCGCGCGGGATTCGTGTTTCGTTTCCCTTCTCCTTCGACGAGAGGGAGAATTAGTTTGAATTCAATGTCGTGGCGAGTTTAATTTCGCCGTGGCTGTGTAAGATGCTCTTCAGGTGTCGGCCGTTGGGGCCGAAGTAATTAGAAAGATTGGAATTTCCGTGCCACGCTCCACTAACCTAAAGTATACACTTTCGAGATTGTACGCTCTGATCTGCCCAGGAATATTTAAGTTTAGGCTTCGGGGAGGGAGAAGAGTTTCTTGAGAGTTCTCGTGGAAATGTTGAGGATTTCGCTGGGGGTATTCTTTCATTAGGGGTAACTAATTTGTATTATACGAGATTGGCTGAAGTATCCTTGCAGTTTTTAAGACGGATTAAGCATGAGTTTCCTTTCGGTGTACTGAAGCTTGCGGAACTTTATAATACCCGATGAGCAACTCACTCATTGCTCCATGCATTTATTAAATTATGATATTAATTCGTGTACTAGATTTAAAAATCATTTAAAAACACAAATTCAGAAACATATCATGACAGAATAATCTGATACTAACGATGTTTAATTCAAAATTCAAACGACCATCAGAAAACTTTTAAAAATCATACTGGAGAAGTGAGACAATTTTTTAGCTGATTCGATACATTATTCTGTTCTCATTAATTATTACTCCAGAGTATATTTGTTTAATAATAATTTCCAAAACAAACTAAGTTATATATTATGATAGAATAATCTACATTAATGATGTTTAACCCAAGTCTCCATCAAAACGAGAATTATCAATGCAAGACTGCAATCATTCTAATTTACACAACACCAACCTAGAATAATAATAAATACTTCCTCCGTCATTATATACATAACGAACCTTCTTTATTTAAACATACATTTCTCAACTCTTCTCAAGTTACCTTCCTCCATCTCGGAAACACTGAACACAACATCCTCTCCAAAACAACGACAATTTTCATCGCATCCAAAGTTCTTATTCCCACCAGCCAGCAAAAATATCAAATTCCATACTAAAAACCGTCGTGCGCATCCAGCGTGTCACACGAACAAAGAGAAATTTCAAATTTCCTCGAAAAAAGCCATTCCTATAGGAAGTCCCGCGCGGAGCGGTCGGTTGAGCGGCCGATCGCGAGATAGACACTTCATAAAGCCGCGTTCTTGCAACCGAGTCGTAAAAATAACTGACCTGTAAAATTTCGGCGGTACGCGTGCTGGCCGCTCGACTTTCGCAGGAAGTGAGTACCGCGCCTCCGGGAGGATCGCAAATATCATTCCGTTCCTCGGACACGCGTCACCGGTCGGTTCCGGTTTCTTTTCGGCGCGCATTTACGTCAAGGCCTACGTTATACC